TGGCCGGCACGCATACTGTGGTATTTCGAAGAGGGATTGAAGAACGGTATCCTTTATCAGTTCCCTCAAGACCAAAAGGAAAGCTTTGCTGTCAGCGGGCTTTTTGGAGTGCAAGGGGCTTTGCCGGGCTTGGGAAGCCACGCTATTTGAATCCTGCTCCCGTCACACGGAACAAAGGGCGTAGCGCCAGACAGGCATTCAATGGAAATCAGGCTCAGCTTCTCGGCATAGCTCCACAGGTCATCTTTCCATGCCCTTATGGCCGGCTCTTTTTGCGGGACCGCCTTTCTGCTCTTGATGGCGCGAAGCGCTCGATACCACTGCTCTACGCCAAGAGACTCCGGATCCAGGGGGGTGAGCTCCGGCAACTGGAGGGGCTCTCCGGAGAAGAGCGAGCTGGCGTACTCAGCCAAGACATCAAGCTCTTCGGAGCTTGTCAGCAGATCACCATTTTCCCCCTTAAGACAGATCCTGACCTTAGGCCTTCCAGTTGTGAGAGCTCTAACACACTGATACATCAACTTGGAGTCGCCTTTGTGGGAAGCCTGCTCCGCTTCTTCAAGCACTTGTAGCATCCTGTCCCTCCTAGCTCTTCTTGCATGCTTGCGCAGGGCCTTCTGAGCCTTTGAGACACACACATGCTGCCTGAAACGATTGAAGATGTCCCGCAGCGTCGAGCTAGGCATGGAATGCAACAAAGTCCTGCTACTCCAGTATGCTTTCGCCAGGCCTTTGGGTCTGTTTGTTTCGGGGGCACGGTATCGGGGCTCGGGCTGCTCGTGCTGCTTCACCTCTTGTTTGAGAGCTAGCAAGGCCTCTGAGGCTCCATCCAGCGTCCGAGGAGCTAAGGCTTTGCGGCACCGAAGGTATCAGCCAGTCCAGCTGCAGGCTGGCAAGAACAGGTCGGTGGCCTCCTTTGCGCCACCCAGCCATTGGTGACGAAACTGCACTAGCCCTTCGGGAGAGGGTGTCTGCTGTGGATTTCCTGACACACACGAAATCAATCATGGATGAACCTCCCGGGCGAAAGAAAGTCTGCCGCCGCTTTGCAAAAGTGTTGAGTACCACCAGCCCATATTGTTCCAGAAGGAGTAAGACTTCCGAGGACTCAAGCATGTGTGCGTCCGCCTGCACTCCGACAGCAGCGCTGGGACCAGTGGTGGGCATGCTTGTGGGGAAGGAGGTGTTGAAGTCTCCCGCAAGGACAATGTATGATCTTTCCGGCAGTGACGAAAGACACTTCCGAAGTCGCCCCCATACTGTTTCCCTGGCCCTTATGTTCCTGTCAAGTTCAGACTTGCTGCCGGGCACCCTAACATGTTGATAAATGGCTAGCACATCCACTTGCTGCTGTTGCGCAAAGAAGCGGACATGTAGCAGTCGGCCCGGAACCAACTCGCTCCACCGCAGGTCATGCTGCGAGGCAAAGTTCTCCCTGACTGCCACCAAAATGCCACCGGCTTTAGGCTTTGCAGAGGGCGAATGAATCATCGACCATCCTGCAGAGCGCCATTCAGCCTGATGTTTCCAGTGTGTCTCTTGTAAAACGAAGAATTTGGCCCAATATCGTCGGCCCACTGTAGGGCCTCAGTAAATATCTCCGGGGAAAGACCCCCGCAATTCCACGTGAAGAATTGAGTTCGCCTGCCGTCGGACACCAAGGCGGGCTTTGTCCGCCCACAACCGACTGAGCTTGACTGATAAAACTTCTTGCCTCTATACTCAGTTTGACCAGTTCTCTGCAGTCTCCGCACTGCTCTGAGATACGATCGCTTCCTGGAGCGGTTGCAACCGTCTATACGGCCAAGGGACGATCTCACCCAAGGCTTCGGCGCCGAAGCACCTTCCGAGCTCCTTTGGGATCGGAGCTCCACCCTCACGCCAGCACCACCCTTCAATGGCTTGTACTGCTGCGGCATGTGGTGCCCCCGAAATTGGGACCGGGTCGAGCAATGTTCCTCCTCCACCCTATAGCGACTGGCTTGCGTATTCATGTTCATGTCCAAGTAGGTGGCATAGTCATTGTAGATTGGGTACATGACTTGTTGCGTCGGGGTTGTGCTCAGCCCCTGGAAATCTTGCAGACTGAATTGTTCGCAACTCGCGAGGAAGCATGGAGTACGCCAAGGGGTACTGGAGCTTTGTAAACCCAAGGATTCCATCATACAGATCTGAAGGAAGAATTTCTAACAAATCCGCAAAGATAATGTCCAAGGTTTGCCCTCTCCAGTACGTTTGTGCAAGAGAATCAGCGTAGAGTCTAGTGCTCTCAGCAGCTCCTTCCTCACAAAGGTACTCCGTGATTCGCTCCCGTGCAACAATCAGTACGTGAACTGCAGGTGTTAAAGCCATGGCTGCAAATGCACACCCCACATCTTGAGCACTCGTGGCGCTCTACTCTACTACTACTACTACTACTACTACCACTACTGCAACTACTTCATGTTAGACCACAGGGGATTGGGTCTTGGCTCAAGACACAAGAAAACAGGGCGAGAGGCTGGTTGGTTGAGATTAAAGCTTGGGTCAATCCCCCACCCTCCTCTGCAAGTTCAAAAGGAATGCATTACACAGCACAAGGCTTATGGTAAGACCTCATTATCTACAATCCAAGAAACAGTCTACACGACACTAAGCTACGTCCAGTGGGACCTGGGAACTGCGGCTACGCTCTTCACGGGAGGGACTCAGGAATCTCCCTTCCTTGGAACTGCACGCTACTCACAGTGCATTCGCGGTGACCGAGGATAAAGAGAAAGGCAGGCAGGTCATGGAGAGCTGGAGGGAATGGGGAGGAGGGCAACGGCCAGTAGTAGTAGTAGTAGTAGTAGTAGTAGTGGTAGTAGTAGTAGCAGTAGTAGTAGTAGGAGGCCCACGTCGCGCCAGCGACGTGCATTATTATGCATTTCGGGGTGCAAAAATACTGCGCTCACCAGCACTTTTAGATGGGACAGGTCATGAGTTGGGGGGTGGCAAACTGCTTGGCCTGAAGAACCCGCCGGACGGCAGCCATGTTGGCTTGAAGGGAGACTTTGCGCCATGTCGTTTGGGGGTTAAGGCTTAGGGCTTAGGGCATGAGCAGCAAAACCATGGCTGTAACGGCCACTGTTTCTTGTGAAGTGGTTACAAAGATTTCCGGGAAAGTGAGAATAATCACCTCCCTTGATAGTAAACACCTCTATCCAATCAACACCCTTTCTTAAGCATTCCCTACAGTAGCTCCAGTAGATTTGGGTTGGGTATTTGATTTCAAACATTGGGTGGATTCTCAATTAAGGAAGGAGGTGCGATGCTTGGGCAGGTTTTGTGAGGGTCCAATATCAGTTCCAAGAATTGATTTGAAGTTTTAACAACTAATCAACATTATTCCGACAAACTTTATGATAGGTTTTTGAAGGTTTAAATGTTTCAGAGGTTTGTTTTCGGAGCTTGCTGTGCTTAGCGTCCTCACGAACCTCAGGAACCAAGTCATCCTACTCGGACAGGCTTTCCCACAGGTTTTTCTAAGTTTGTGAGGTTTGCTTTCGGAGCTTGCTGTGCTTACTGTTTTCACGAACGTAATTACCCCCCTCCCCACCTTCCCGCCCATACCACCAGAAACGCGAAGGCAGCAACGCGGTCAATTTTTTGGAAAAACACAGCCCCGCCCAGAAATGTCAAAATGAGGCCGAAACCACTGTAAAATGAACTGAAAAACCTACCGTCAGCTACACGACGTCGCCTAGTAGTAGTACTAGTACTAATACTAGTAGTAGTAGTAGCAGTAGTAGTAGTAGTAGTCGTAGTCGTAGTCGTAGTAGTAGTAGTAGTAGTACTAGTAGTAGTAGTAGTAGTAGTTGTTGTTGTTGTTGTGATAGTGTAGTTGATTGATTGATTGAAGCCTGTGAGCAGTCATGCTCCGCCTTATTAAGCAAGGCCAGGTCAGGAGGCTACTGCTCTGTTGGCAAGCAGCCCATCACTTTACATGTAACATGTCTGCACAGCTTCCGAAAACAGCAAGACAAACAGGGCACAGAACTAGGGGAATCTCACGGCTCCAGTCGCATGCGCAAGTCCAGCATGTGACAGCTGACAAAAATTAGCTCGGAGATTTCGCCACCCACTACGGCTGGCGGCAAGCGTGTACACAGTTTGACGCTGCGTGGTAGAGCAAGAGAGTTGTCCCCACCACTGCGACACATCGGTATCAGGTCGCCGAGGGTGGAACCGCCTAGGGTGACGCACTCCCGTGATTGCAAGCGCTTGTTGGTGGCCCCACCAGTGGAAGTCGCACCATGTCACAGCTTCCGAAAGCTCACCCGAGGAACGAAACATATGTCCCAGCCAATCATGCCTACGTTGTAACCACAGCTGGCTCCACGGCTTAAAGCTGTCATGTTGCCGATGCCATGCAGTTCTCATGAGTTCCCACGCTCTGCGCAACCGCCTACGGTGAATGTCCAACCATGTGTCCCTGGGCTCTCTTGGGCATGCAATCATTGCTGCAAGCATCGAGGCCTGCATGGCGTTGATGCGTTCAACGGCCTTTTTGCTGGGTCTCTAGGCACCAGCACTCCACAGCACAATTCACGAGACTTTGCTGTTAAGAACTTGCGCTCTCTTGTCGTCAACAAGTCAGTAACTAACAGCAATATCAAGAATAATGGTAGCGCTTGTGGTAGCAGTACTAGTAATCGCAGCAGTACTTGTGGGATTTCTTCCAGTTGCTGTCCAGCCCAACTCCCCAAAATATTGTGGAGGAAACATTTTCCTGGCCATACTCCACCCCAATATCCTGTGCTAGGGGCGGGGCATTCTGTACATAACAAATGTTTTCTGTTCGCTCCCAATTGTCAGGCTTTGGCCCATGGATTCCAATGGCCCCAGGAGGGTAGCTTTCACTGACTTTTCCTGATACCCTGCTCACTGCTAGATAATCCAGCGCCCAATGCATGTCTTGCAGGTAAGCTGGTTGGCGTGCCCCCCGCCCTGGTACACAAAGGAGCGCAAAGCTGATGCTGTCAAAGGGTCAAGAACTTCTGACTCCAAGCCCACAAGGCCGAAATCGCAGATCTCCATCTACGCCCTGCCTCTGCTGCGCTGAGGGCCTGGCGATGATGCGGCTTGCGAAGCCCGACCGGTTTAGAGAATCTAGGATGCTGACCGCTCCGTGGGCCACGACATCGGGTTTCAGACCGTCCTGCAAGGATCTCAAAGGCAAAGGGGTCCGTGGGAGTCCCCAAGCCCAGCCCAATCGGCGCTCCAAAGGAAGTTGCTGGAAGCCATGTAGAGCTTGGTGCCAGCTGTAGCCTGACCAGATCAGAAACTCTTGCGTTCTCACGAGAAGCAGCACAGCATGTGAGTTCAAACATAATGAAAATAAAAATGTTGAAGCATGCTGCATCTCCTTGTGGGGCAGACACTGCAGCAGACTGCACCACCAGATCTAGCTGCACGCTTGAAGTTTTCAAGGCACGCACGAGGTGCACCACTTCCATCCATTGCTGGCATCGCTCACAGGCACTCTGAGCAGCAGCATGCGTTTTGACATGAACCTCAAGTGTCCACAAACAAGTTGAGTAGACTATAGCACTCGCATTTTTGTATACTTCCATGCCTGGATCCCATCCAACACCATGGACTGCAAGAAGACCAGAGCTGCCTCCCAGCGGCCGTCATTATCCAAAACAGTCAAGGCCGATGTGTAGGCTCCAATATCGGGCTCCTGAGACAACGCCCGCACGCCTTTCAGCAAATCCAAGACCTGTTCTGATTCCAGAGCCGGTGCAGCAGAGCTGCATGTCGCAGAGTCGATAGGAACTCCTGCGCCAATGAGGTGGCGTACGAAATCCTGTGACACTCTGCGATGGCGACTTGCAGCTTTCAAAGCTGCATTTCCGCTGATGGCATCATGTTGCACACGCAGGCGTTGAATTGAAAGGAAGGTGCTGATGGCTGCAGGCCAATTTGCCTCTAGCTTTTTCATGAGCAAGCTGCTCGTGAACTCGGTGGGCTCCAGCGCGTCATCCAGAACTGATTTCAAAATGCCAAGTGCCGCAGACCACATGAGCCCACAGCTCAAAACAGTGTTGTGGTGTCTAATGGTAGGGCTCATGCCCAATTGGCGCATCCGGGAGAGCTGCAGCCCGGCATTGCACCATAAGCCTGGTGGTGAGCCGGTCACTTTGATCAGATTCCCGGCAGTGACCAGGGAATGCTGCAAAGCCAGGGATCTTGCAAGGCGAAGTATTTCGAGTGATCCCTGCCACGGGCCCGAGGCCGCGCAGCAGGTCACCACGGCATCGCAAGCTTCAATTGTCAAGCGAGATCTGCCAGCGTGCGTCAACATCAACAAAGCAGCGAGTGCATCACGCCAGCGTTGCCTCCGTCCCATTTCAGAAAGGGCCGTCGCAAGGTCTTTGGGGCTCGAGTCCATGCAGCGATGCACCTCTTTCATCCCCAGCCGCTTAGATCTGTCATAAATCTTGCTCATGAGAATCCTGCGAGCAAAGGGTCTCCAAGTTTGCGGCATAGAGCAAGGGAACATGAATTTAACATGCATTGAACACGGACAATTCCCACAATGTCCAGTCCATGATTCTTCACTATGACCAAACCTGCCGCCTCAGCCAACCATGAAACCTGAAGCCTTAATGTGTTCCTGATGCAGGAAAGCGCTCTTCGCAACCTGAACACCAGTTTCTCAGGAGTCATGACGAAGCCCGCCCCTGCATGATCACGCTGTCAAAATCAGGTGTGGGAAGAAGCTATCATGTGATTGATTCTTGGGGGAAATAATGGCTGACGGTGGTCACAACATGTATTGCCAAATACCATTGTCATGGCGGACGAACTGACACTGTGAGCTGCAGTGGTTGAGACAGCGAACAACACTTGAACAGCCCTTTTTTGATCATCGAAAGCCCCCTCTGGACGAGGCCATGGCAGGGGAGACTGCCAAGGAGATGGGCATGAGTTGTTGGATGCTGATTCTGGGACTCCTGCTCTAGCTTCGAAGCATCCCCATGAAGTCTTTTAATTCCGTGGTAGGACTGCGAGTTTTTGCGGGTCACCAGTCAGATTGTTTGGCTCATGACGTACGACGTACACATCAGGTAGTGGCCATATAGATTCCCGTGTTACCGCCCTTTCTCACCTGACCTTGTTCTTTTGACTTTCCTTTTGCCTTGCCGGTCCCTCGTTCGTATTCGCTGAGATCCGTCTTTGCAAACAAGAACTCGTCTCAGTAAGAAGACTGCTTGCAACCAGAGAGTGCGCGGTCTTTGGGTAACCAGGTATGTCCGAAGTCACAGGCGCAGCGGTCTCCATTGCGCACTCCGATTTGGCAACGATGCAACAAGACGCAACTGATAGCATCTGATAGCAAGCAGCCTGGACTAAGTCGCAAAGGAGCCGGAAGCTGGAATGAAAACACCAGTGCCACTAGGTGATAATAATGCATGGAGGAAAGTCGGCCACAAGCACGCAAACATGACAACGCAATTGCAGTCCCTTGTGTGGAAAGAGCTAGATACAGAGACCTGTCAAAGTCTTCGGGGATGACACGTGGCTCAAGTGAAGAAGCAAAAGGTGCACGTGGAGCAGTAAAATCAAGACCAAAAACGCAGCCAAGGGCTACAATTTTGTGGTCAGGGGGGCCAACTGTTACACTGTAGGCAAATTTGCCCCGCGCTTCTTCCTCCTCCACACTCGCCCAGAAGGCGTCCATGGTCTGCGCGGTCCGCAACTTGCAGTTGAAGCGGTCGTTGCCATGGGGTACAGAGTCTCACAACACAACGAACTTCACAGGAATCGGGGCCCTTCACCTGTTGAGCCCGGGGCCCATCCAAACAAACAACCCACTACTGCGCCAAAGCGGGTCGACAACTGCAGCAGCAGCAGCAACTGGGCTTGGTCGCTTGATTCCTCAGGATTGGTATCCCGCCAGAGTTCCTCCTGACCGTTGGAGCTGCAGCTCAGGAAATTCTTCCGACAACAGGCGAGTCGGTCCACGTAGACCATCATCGGCACAGTTTGGTACAATGCGACCTCGGCTGGTCTCGGCATGTTGCAGCACTGCTCTGGTCAGCTTTTCAAGTCGAAAACATGACAAGGCCGTTGCCTTTGCGGCCTTGATGTCCTGTCAAAGTCAAATGCACAAAGTCAGATTCTCTCCCAGAAGCTTTCAGCTACATCAGCTCTGGCTGTCCGTCTGCGTGAGATCAGCATCAGAATTTCTGCCTTCGCAGGCTCTTCGCTGACCAGCTTCATGAATGTGAACGCCAACCTTCTGAAAAGTCCAAGGCTATGCGAATTTGCCACCTCAACCTGCCACGAGGCAAGCAATCTAAGGATAACACTGGCAAAACTGCTTCCCAAAAGAACACAAGCCAGCAGCACTGCGCACTGAGCTGTGGCAAGACTTCGCGCTCTAAGACCTCTATGAAATCCAGGCAGCCCTGGCAGGCTCAGCTGATTGACATGCCTAGCATTGCCCGGCACCCTACAAGATGATCGCTGCAAAGCCTGATGAAGGATGAACTGGCAATCGGTCCACACCTGCCGCTTTGCAGAGGCAGCGAAACAGCGAGTCTTCAACAAGTGTGCGAGAACGCGCATTGTGACGGTGGGCCTGCTCGAGTTTGACAATTGCAGCCGTCAGTTCGGCCTGAGGTTTGGTCACGGGCTGCGACGCAAGTGCGCATGAATTGGATAAGAAGTGCTTGCTTGAGTATGAACTGAAATTCAGCGAGGTATGAGGGTCCATCATTCTCTTTCAGCTCCGGCTTCACTTGGTTCTCATTCAGGTGGAGCAGGACCTGTGCACAACATCGGTGTGCACCGAGATATAGGGATGAGGACCCCTGTGCCATTGCCGACACGCTTGCGAGTCTTGGTGTACGGAGCGAGCTTGAAAATCAATAACAAACTCAAACATGCCAAGAAAAACGCTACTATCAACAGCAAAGTAAACCAAGGCAACACAACGATACTCATATGCTGACAGTAACAACAGTAGGGATTAAAGCAATAACAATACTGCTCTTAGTCCTCAACCTGCACATGTTGAAGCCCCGGAAAACCAGAAAAATCATCACTTCCACTTCTGTGGCATGCTAATCATGGCTTGTAAATTTCGTGGAGCGTTCGTTGGTTGCAGGGGTGGGTGGCCAGCGGGCGAGGGGCCATAGCAACGTCAACTTGAAGCGAGGACTTCTGTTTTTTAGCATTTGTGCTGGTGCGTGCTGATAATCGCGTGGGTGAGCGTCCTTCCACAACGACCCTCTCCACAAAGGGCAACCACTTTACACCTGCCCCCTGCGTGCCCTTGCTCCTCATGCTGCAACCCGCATACTCGTCGTCACCAGGCTTCCCGTTTTGACTTCCTCCTTGATCTAATTGGTGGATAGACTTGTTGAGAAATCACGCAGCGACACATGGGTGGTCGTCCAAAATCCCCGAGCAGCATGCGAGCCTCCCCTGCAAATGTATATGCGCTCGTCTTCGTCAACAATAGCTCCAACAATCGAGCGGCACCAGAAACACAAAATCCACTGACCCCTGGAGCGGCGCGCAGCAGGTTCCTTTACTCCTCGCGAGCTCTACAAGTACTCTACCCCTTACACAAGCTCCCTCAAAGGGTTTCCCGCTCTGGCCATCGCGGGCTTTTCCTAAGCGATTTTGAAAGGCCTCGAAGCAGTGTCAACCTCCCCCGATCCCCCTAACCCTCCGTCCCCGCGCTCGCCCACCCCTGCCTGCCCTCCATGACAGGTTTCCAAACATGTTTCGAAGGTGGAACGCATCGGTTTTCAATGAGGCCCCCCTACCCCCTTGAGATGTAACCTGTGCGTTACTGCCCTCACAACGGTACACACAGCAAGGCGGTCAGGTGTCTCT